AGTGAGAGATGATGGAGGTCTGAACTAGAAACATAGAAGTGGGAATGGAGAGAAGGCGGGACATTCTCATGATATTATGGAGGTAAAACCAACAGGATTTCATGCTAAACTTATGTGAGGATTGATGGAAAATAATACCTACTTCTGCAAGAATTTAAGAACATAATATATGTAATTGTTCTACATGTGGGTGCTCAAAAAAATCTTAGTTTATATTTTAATTCTGTTTATACCATGGTATTTTATATATTCTGTTATTAATTACAGGGATAATATTTCTTGTAATAATATAACATTTTTTCCATTTAACCTGAAATTGTTCTTATTACATATCTTAAAGGAATCTTCACTATATTTATAGTTGGATTCCTACAGTGATAGTTGTTAAGTGGCTTTTTCCATACATTACTACATTATCACTCTGGCAATGGTTTTCCCTGGTAGTTATTTAGCTCTCTCTCCCTCTCTCTTTTTCCCCTCTCCTCTCTTCTCTCCTCTGCCCCTTGCCCACCTCATTGCTTTCAGCTTATTTTCTCAGCAACAATGAGAGATTTTATATTAATTAGATCAAAGCAGAAGACAGATCCCTCCTTGTACTGAACATGGACTACCAATAGATATCCATTCCAGTGCACTGGGTTGGGGAGGGTATTTCTGAACCCCTTATGTAATGGGATATACAAATATAAAAAATTTTTAAAAATCATTTCTATGAACAAATAACAGCAATCCATATCCTAATAGCATAAATCCTAAAAGCAAGGGTTTCTTTGCCCCTCAGTCCTTGCCAAATTTTCAAAGCTACCTTGACCTAGAAGGAGAGTCTATATATTAGAAATAAATAGCATAAATAAGCTTATTTCTTCTACCAAGGCAGGGACTTTCTTTCCTTGCCTTTATGAAGTGTGCAAAAAATGTCTTAATTATAAATTATTCCTTAAATACGATTCTGTTTCTTCCTTTAAAATCAACAATTCTGACCCTTGTCTTCATTTTTAAGTGTTAACTCACAGCCTGTGCTAGGCAAAGGAATACCAAATGCCTTTTCCTGGGGAGGAAAAACAATTCAAGTGCAAAATTAGTCACCATAGAGTTGGACTTAATGGGGAAAACATAGGAACTACTTCAATATCCAAAATGAGGACACTCTTAAAAATATTCCAGTTCTGTACATGGAAATTTCTCCAGGATAGATCACAAGCTAGGCCACAAAACAAATCTAAAAAATAATCAGGGAAATGCAAAACCATAATGAGATATCACCTCACACCTGTCAGAATGTCTACAGTCAAATAGACAAGAAATCACAAGTGTTGGCAAGGATATGGATAAAAGAGAACCTTCATGCACTGCTGGTGGGAATATAAATTGGTTTAGCTACAATGGAAAACAGTATGGAGGTTCCTGAAAAATTTAGAGACAGAACTACCATATGATCCAGCAATTCAACCCCTGGGCATTTATCCAAAGAAAACAATTCAAAAAGATATGTGTACCCCAATGTTCATAGCAACATTATTTACAGTATATCTACAGTAGCCAAGATATGGTAGCAACCTATGTGCCCATCAACAGATGACTGGCTAAAGATGTGGTATATATATATATATATATATATATATATATATATATATATATATAATATATTATATATATATTATATATATTATATATATGATGGAATATTACTAGGCCATGAAAAAGAATGGGAATTTGCCATTTTCAACAACATAGATGGACCTAGAGGGTATTATCCTCTGTGATATGTCAGAAAAAGATAAATAGTATATGTTTTTGTTTATGTGTGAATCTAACAAATAACACAAATGAATAAATATCACAACATAGAAACAACCTCACAGATACAGATGATGAACTAGTGGTTACCAGAGGGAACAGGGTGGGGGAGGAGCAAAATAGGTGAAGGTGATTGAGAGGTGCAAACTACTAAGTATAAAATAAATAAGTTACAAGGTTGTAATGTACAACACAGCAAATATAGTCAATATTTTATAACTTTTTATGGTGCATAATCTATAAAAATATCAAGTTACTACATACTATGTACTATGCTATACACCTGAAACTAATATAATGCTGCAACTCAACTATACTTCAGAAAAATTTCCAGTCCTATAAAATGATGGTGAATTGTAGAATAAAACTGAGGAGCCATAGATGTCTTAGGTATCTTCACAATATACTGAAAAGCAAATTATGGGATAAAATAGGTCCATAATTGTTTAAAAAAGTGCTTATGGGTGGATCGTGAAAGCTTGTAAATATATAGAAAATAATATATCTGAAGTGGTTCTTATGTATATTTTAATGTATTTGATCTCATTTTTAAATGAAGTAATAAAAATATACAAACCATTTCAATTTCCCAAAACTTAAATAAAATACTTTGGCCAAATTAAGGGGTATGTTAACTACCAGTTGATACAGGCTTTAAGGGTGAAACATATGGCAAAAGACCAAGAAAAATATTTGACATGTCCATATATATCAAACCACAATTCCAATAGTAAGGAATAGAAAACAATAAAATATTCCAAGATATTCAGGTACACAGGTGTTCATCACAGAATTGATCTTACAAGTAAAAGTTCAGAATTATTTTAAACATAGCCCAAGGAAGCTTGGTTGTAGAAATTATAGCTCATCCCTGTGATGGCTTATTATGTAACAACAGAGCTAAAGGAGAATATTTAATTATTTAGAACTATGGTCCCAGAGAACTATTATAGTGAAAATACACTTCAGTGAAACAATGCATACTTTATTATAAATATAAAGGTATGTAGATATTTATTTACTAAAAGTGTATTTTGTCAAGTACTGGTATTAGGAGTGATAATTATTTTGCTATATTAACAGTTACAAATATTTTCTATTATAATCATGTACAGACTGTATAAAATGTTTAAAATAAATAAAAACAAGAAAGCTCCTGATAAAATATTGAGAAAATGCAGAGATGATTGCAATACAAAGTACAGAAAATTATACACATAATCCAGCTCCCCTTACAATATTGGTGCATCTTACAAATGTAAACGAATACTGTCTTTATAGATGGCCATTTATTAATGCACTTCGCCACCAAACTGCCCATATCCTTTGATACTTAAATTTTCCTATCTGCAATATTTGTTTAGAAAATAATCTGGGAAGTCAGCTAGATTTGTGCACTATGATGCACTTGACAGCTCTGTTTGTATAAAGAAAAATGAGCAACAACCTACATGTTCAACAGTGAGGAAGTAGTTAAAATACATATACACACAAACACAGAGATATAGACATGGATAAGTTGTCTGCTTTGTAATTTTTTCCTTCAATGAAGCTGAAATACTATTCTGAAAATGGGAAAAAGGGCAGGAAGTGTACCCATATATATCCACCTATTAAGTCATCAATTCAATGAAATATTAATATCCAGAGAAAATATTTTTAAATAATCTTTAATGACATGAAATGAAGTTCAAGAGTATGTGAGTGTATAAATATACACACACACATTTATGTGTGAAAAAGCAGGTATAAAAACAATATGTACATTATTATATACATACATGACATATGAATCAGAAAAATACTAGAGAGGTACGGCCAAAAATGTTGCAGGTAGTTCTTAGAAAATATTAAACAGGTACAGATGAAAATGATTCAGGGAGGTGTGGGTGCTCATTAGGATTGATTACAGGTGACATTAATTTTCTCCTGTTAACTTGTCCGCTTTGTGATTTGTTTCCTGCAATGAAGCTGAATTATTTTTCTGAGAATGGGGAAAAGGGCAGGAAGTGGGCACAGGGGAAGGAGGTGAAAAACAGTATTTAAACTCAGCAAAGCAACCAAGGACAGTGAAATACCATTTGCAGCCCATCAAGCTGGCCAAGACACACACACACACACACACACACACACACACACACACACACACACACACATCAATTACAGTGGCCAGGAGACTATGCAGGGGAAATGAGCATACTCTTTACTAGCTGAGCTGGCTGGCATGAATGAAAATTGGTACAATGCTTATGAAGGGGCCATTTGGCAACACACAGGAAAAGTCTTTTAAATGTCCATATGTGGATCCTGCAAGTCCACAATTAAGATCATCAGGTATGCTAGCGAAGATTTGGCTTGACAAGGGAGAATTCACTCATTGGAGTATACACAATGCTGGGTTTAAACACAGGGAAAGAACTAGGCACCACCTGAATGTCCAACAATGCAGGAATGACTACAGAAATGTTAGGGTCCATCGATACACTCTTCAGGCACTGAAGATGACGGTCCTGAAGCCTGTTGAATAACATGGAAAGAAGTTCAATGGGTTGATTTTTGTTTGGTTTTAGTTTTTGAAAAAGCAGATTAAGAAACACCACATACATGAACCATTCTATAACAGTGTGTTAAAAGGGAAGGTGGGGTGGAGGTGAGGAAGGGAGGGAGAGAGGAGAGGAGAGAACCTGGAAAACAGCACACGGAAATGGGAAAAGTGGTTGTCTCCGGGTAGTAGGGTCATGGGGAGCAATTACTCTCTTGGGTTTCCCTCATCTGATTTCCTTCTCCTTCCTGATGTTTCTACCATGAAATTGTATCACCTGTGCAATAAACAAAGAGAGAAAGTGCTTTTTAAACCAAACCACAAGGAGAAGACAGTCTTTAACCTGTCAAGTGGCACAGATTAGCAAGATTATTCACAGCACCCAAGGTGGGTGTTGGGGGAAGGGAGGGGAGAGGAGGGGTAGGGACAAGAGGGGAGTGGAGAGAAAGAGACACAGAGTGAGAGGGACTGAGACAGGTGGAGGGAGGGAGAGATGGAGGGAAGGAAGACGGGGGTGGGGGTGGAGTGCGGTTGTGAGAGAGACAGACCTGCACTCCCAATACAATACACTGCTGGTGGGTTAGGGGGGCAAAGGGTGGGGTTGTAAACCGGGTGGGAGCCAAGGTTTGGCTCTGCTGGCTGGCTCGCTCCTGGGATGTCTTCATCGCAAGGTGGCCTCCTCGTCGGTGTCTTCCTCGAAATCCTTGACGTCAGCACTGGTGGACTGTCTGGCCCAGGCTCCCCTTTCGGCCTCTCGTTCCTTATGCGACTTGAATCTCCCAACGAAAATTTTGCGGTAGTTCAGGAACATGCCATTCATCGCATCAATGGCCCGCTCGGCGGACTCCTGCTTCTGGAAGTGCACGAACCCGTAGCCCTTGGGCCCCTTTTCGTCGCAGGCCACTTTGCAGGAGAGGATGTTGCCGAATG